ACGAATTTCATCATCGATTAGTTGTGTCGCGCGATTATTGCGTCATCCGCCGCGCCGTCATCACTGCCTCTTGACTGAAAGAGGAAGAAAAAAAAATATGGCAGAGCGAGTCAGCGCCGCAGGTGCAGTGTTGCCAACTCAGCGACTTTTCAGACCCCTCCAGCGACTATTTTTCAAAAAGGCGACTAGCGACAAATCTGGCGACTTTTTTCGGTGTCACTGGCGGCTTTTGGAGACTCTTAGTGAAAGCATGTATCATTCCTACTCTGCCGTGGGGCGCCTCCCCCACACCAACCGCGTTTTCCCGCAGGAGTCCCTCTCAGCGCTGCAGTCAGAGCCTCAGCGTCCAGACTGCAAATGAAGCGCGCATGCACCGGGATTGACGGCGCAAATTGATCACAATAATTAAAATAGCCTGCGCTTTGTAAAGCGAAAAAAGTGATAACATGCAACTTTTTTCAAAAGAAATTAACATGGCACGGAAGCACCATGTTTGTTTGGTTTTAAAGTGGGGAAACGTAACGTTAGTTTCTCAGGTAGCTCATCTGATGCTTTCCTTACCGTGTTAGTAGGTTACAGACAGTAATAAGGTTGGCTACTTATTTTACCTTTAATTTCATTTGAATTAGCTTAAGCAGCGTTTACATTTACTTTATAAATAAATTAACTTGCAAATTATGAGGGCAAGGCTTTTAAAGTTTAAATCTTCTGGCAAAGATAAAGTAAAGATCCTGCAATTTATGGAAGTAAAGCAGAATAAAATCCAGCAAGATCAGTAATATGTCAATTAATTATCTGCCACATTCCCATGTAAATATCTGTCTTTGGAGGATGTGTTTTTTAGCACCCCTAGTTCTCTCATTTTTATTCCAAATACAATTTATAATTTGAATCACAGGGCTATTTTTATCTCTATGGTTCAGTATTTTCTCAAGTAGCAACTTTAACTGCTATACTTTCCTGTCTTAAAAGGCAGAACTCTTCTAGTCTAAAAAAACTCATTTGTTGAAATGGGGGGGCCTATTGTTTGAACCCCTTAGGGGCTTTTAAAAACAAAAATGTCTTTTTTTGCGCTTTATGAAACAAAGTAGCCTATATTTTGTGGATGTACAGCTACATTTCTCATGTAAGTTTGCGTAGTTTTAACACAAACATTTATTTTTCATATTGCACCAGTACAGTTAATGAGCAACCTGTACTTGTGTGCTTGTTTGTTCTGTCTAAAATGTTTATTTTGGAATAAAGAGGTTAATATAAAAAATATTTTTTGTCCGATTCATCGATTAATCGAAAAAATAATCGTCCGATTCATCGATTTTTAAAATAATCGTTAGTTGCAGCCCTACAAAAAATGTAATCAAGTTACTTGCAGGGTCTGTAATTAATGAATCGCAGTGAAATCACATTTTAATCGAAAACCATATACCGGCAAAAATAAAGCAACCTTTAAAAATAGAAAAACCTGTGCGCTAGTTGCAGTGTTAGCTGCAGCCCTAATTGTTATTAAAAAAAATTTAAAGACCAAGTTTGTTTATAAGCTAATGTTTCTATCCATTGAATTAATACAGTAAGTTTATTTTCTTTTTTATATATTGTACATATTTGTGTTCTTTTAAAAATATTTTCAGTACACCTCAGTAGTTTTGAAAATTTTGTTTGAGTCCTGCACGTCCTTTATAAACCTTAATACCGCAGCATCCACAGGTGAATCAACGCTGTTTAGTTTGAACTTCTTATCTTGTAATGATTGATTATAATATCAAGGCTACTTTAACAGAGCAAAGGATGTATTCCATCCATCCATCCATCCATCCATCCATCCATCCATCCATCCATCCATCTCCCTTCCACTTATACCAAGCGGGGTGGCGAGGGGTACTGGTGCCTATCTCCAGCTGCCTACGGGTGAGAGGAGGGGTCCACCCTGGACAGGTTGCCAGTCCATCGCAGGGCGACACAGAGACAAAAAGGACAAACAACCATTCACACACACTCACACCTAAGGAGAATTTAGAGAAACCAATTAACCTAACAGTCATGTTTTTGGGCTGTGGCAGGAAGCCGGAGTACCCGGAGAGAACCCACCAATGCTCAGGAAGAACATGCAAACTCCATTTAGAAAGCCCACAGCCCAGAAATCGAACCGGAACCTTCTTGCTGCAAGGCAGCAGTGCTATCCACTGTGCAACTTAGCAGCCCAGAAGAAAATATTCATTTATGCCAGAGGTCTTCAACGTTTCCAAGGCCAAGGACCTGCAAGCTGATGGCGAGATGGAACGAGGACCCTATAATTATATATATGGTATGAAATTATATCAAACTGGTCCTTATAGTAACTTTATTACAGATGGAGTAATGTAACGATAACACCGTTTACGTCCCGTGATCCGTGCAACAGTGGGTACAAAGTACCACAATTTAGTTCAACTTGGTCCCAATGGAATTCCCATTGGGAACCTACTAGCACTAAGCTGCTAACTGGTTAGCAAGATGCTTCCGACAAACCGGCCACAATCAAACTTGCCTGCAAACCTTCCGCCAGAAAAATCCCGCCCCCTTGATCAACGACCAATCGCATTCACTTTATTCTCTCGTGTAAAGTCGGGCAGCACTCGAGAGAATCCCAAAATGCAACCGTTGGAACAGTCGTTTCCCTACGAAAGATACTAGGAGCTAAAAGATCGATATTCTATCAGGCAGCCAAAAATCAGGTTATATTGCCAAATTATTTTTTTTTCCCACACCCCTACTTATAAGCCACTTGCACTTGTATTATGTATTTGGTTTCAGACGGGACCCTCTGCATGCACATGCAAACGGAGTGAGAAGTGGGTAGGGCAAGGGACTTCTAAAACAACCTTCCATGTTTCCACCCATTTCCATTATAGAATACTGAGCTCCAAAAGTGTAATTCCCTCAGACGTCAGCACACAGAGATTTTTCTCTAGCTATAAATCAGTGCTGCTGTGCCGCTGCTAAATTGGGGATATTTGTGTTAAATATAAGCCAGTTTCATTCCTAATAACTCAGAGCCACCTGGTTCGTCCTGCTGCATGAATTTAATACAAAATTACATAAAATTACATGAATTTATTGCCCCAAACTCCTGTGATGCTGCTTGTGCATCAGATTTACAAGTGTACAAGAAACAGAAGATACAAAAGGTTTCCGCTACGGATTTTAGTATGTATATGAGAAAATGCAATTAATTGTCTTAATTTTTTAAACGTCTTAAAATTGATTGATGAGTCTAAATTAACATCTTAAAGTCTCGGCTCCAATAATAAATCAAGATCACCGGTTTCTCACAGCTGTCTCACTCAGAACATGTGAGCAGAAGAAACTGCGTTAATTGAACAGGTTTCACAGATTACAGCCTTTTTTTTCAAGTTATTTTCAACGGCTTCAGTGAAACAGTCTGTTCGCTGCCTGCGAGAATCTATTCTCAGTAACAGGGTGTCAAAATGCAAGGGGTGTGAGCAGCAAACAAACAGAAAGCTGAAGGAAACCAGGTGACCATAAGCAGAGCTGCTGTGAGGCGCAGGTTTCATTTTGGGATACGGGGTTAGAGATGAAGTAATCTGAGTTGGCGTCCAATCAGCTGTCAGAGCTGCTAAACTAAATACAGATGAAAACAAGACGGAAATCTGAAAATTAAATGTGTGACTCATGCAAACAGAAAGGTGTAAATTAACCCTAAACATTGCCTCACTACTATCAATCATCATCATGTCACCAACTTTAACTGTTGCTAAAATTTACCACGAGATGCATGACGGAGTAAAAATTAACACCTCTAAAGGAAAAAGAGAAACCAATATCTATTTAACTTTCATGTCAGGGGTTTATGACAGCTTTTAGTGTTGACTGTGGTTCAAGTAAAAAAAAAGCCAAATGATGAAAAAAGCCAGTATATAACACCCCAATGAGAGACGGACTCCTGCAACACTTCTGGTGCAAAGCAGCCGAAAATATAAAGGTTACAACTTCAGGCTAAACTGCATGAATTATTTTTACTTTTTTGATTAATCGATTTAATAATCGGATAGCCAGAGGTTCCTTAAAGAAAACCTTTTGTGAAAATAAAACAGGTGAAACTAAAACTTTTCACTTGAGGATGCTGGATAGAGCATATTGATGGAAAAAATTATTATTATTTTTTTTCTTAAATGCAAACTGTTTTTAGAAATTCTTATTTAAAAAAAAAAATCTAAACTCTAATCTGAACTTTTTGACTCACCAGCCAAGTGGAGTTGAAGTTTATATAATTTAATGGCCAAAAAAACAAAATGTGTTCTCATATTTTTAAGGAACATATTATTTCACTAAGGCACTATGTTAAATGCAAACAAAATAACAGTAGAAGGTAATTTAGCTATATTAAGTTGTAATTGAGAATTTCATAGAATTTCTAAAGGTGCAAATGCAAAATACATTTATTTGATAAAGTGGCCCTACATAAAACCATTCATAAAACAGCAAACTATTTTCATTTGTTATATTGTCCATAAATACATGCGTAGCCTTTCTTCTCCAAACTAAAAGATGAAAGAATGTGACTAAAGCGTTACTGTGGTCCAAACATTTACTCACCTTGCAGTGAATGGTACTCTGGCATTAACTCGCTAAATTTAAATTTTTGTGGCATTTGGCGAGTGGAGACTGTTAATTTCCTGGAGAAAAGTCACCTCCAAAACCTTTAACCGATTATTAAATATTTCAATGTTTTATATCTAAATTGCATTTTTCTTTAAATTAAAAATGTTCTTTGCTTGAAACAATTTTGGAACAAAACTCACGTCATAGACGTGCTAACATTTGGGCTGATGAGTTTACGGATGTTTTCTTTTACGCCGAGCGAATACAGCCTCTAAATTCTGATTTTTACCTGGTGCATTTAGTGCGTTTACCGTAAACTACCTAACAGCCGAGCCTCTGGAAGCACGGATTGACCTGCTGTAAACGGAGGTTTAACGGCCGAAGCTGCTAGGATCACTCACCCCAGCAGTAAGTCTGCAGACACCGCCGCTGTCTTCAGGCAGTCAGGACTTTAAACCATGGGTTCAGAACCTGCAGCAAACAGAATCAACCATTAGTTTGGTACAAATTAACAGACGATTAACAGCAGAAAAGGCTGGGATTTTCTGAGGTGGGGTTCTACAAAGTTAGAATAGAGGCACCCTTTATGGGGATGCAGGTTATCGATTAATGAATTTATCTAAAGTTGACTAATCTTATCAATGAACCGATTCGATTAATTAATAGGCAGCCATAAAAAAAAAAGGTTAATCTTGTATCAAGAGGATCCCTTTAATTCAAAAATAATTGGACATTATTATATTTTTACCATTTATTCTACCAGATTTACTTACTGACTGAATGAATACAAATATTTTATTTTAACGCATCACTAAAAAACATATTTAATAAGATTTAACAAAACAGGAACATATTAGGTTACTGAATAAAAAAGATGAATAAAATATGTGAAACACGACCATTAATAATTAATCAATAAATTAACAGGGTATGTCGCTCTGCTATACTGTCAGGCTGTTAGTTACTTTTTATTTAAGTTGACGGCATCTGTGGTATAGCTCTCTGTTTTTTAGTGTAATCCAGCAATCAGTGCTGGGAGAGAGTTAAGGCTGATTTATAAACCAGGTCGTCTGCGTAGGTGTCGCAGTAAACAAAAAGACGTCCCCGCCCCCTCCCCAGACACTCCGCTGCACCTCTCCCAAATTGTAGGTGACCGCAAACGTTGCTGCAGACAGGAGGCCGGCTTGTTTTGTTTTTATGACCACAATTGCGGAAAACAACGCTTTAATGCTCTTTTTTTGTGACATCCGGTTCTTTTTGCGTTCCCGCTCACATTTCCAAATATATGCAACTTGTGTGTTTGCTCTACTGTATGGACTGCATTCAGATAACGCAAGTGTCCTGCATGTGCAGTAGAGGAGGCAATGACATCACAACCGAGCGTGCTGTGTTTACAGAAGTAAACATGGATGGTAGCGCTGGAGCGCATCTAGCGACTTTTCCAAACATTAAAAACGCAATCTTTACAAGATGGTTTAGAAAAGAAAAAAAAAAAAGATAATGCTCCTAGCATTATCGTTCACTATGGCTGTCGTTTTTCTTCCTGCTTATGCGTAGCAAGATGCCGAATAGTGACCTTTGTTGAGTATTAATGGCGTTCAGGTCGGATAAATGCGACCTGGCTATACAGACACAGGTCGCATATAGCTAAAAAAAAGAAAAATTTGAATTTGGGTCACTTCAGGCTGCTGTGTGAACATAGCTTACGTTCACATAGCAGCCTGAAGTGACCCACGGATTGATCTGCTGTAGGACCAAACATTGTTGTGAAGTAACAAACATATGTGTTCCTGAATCCAATATGCACCTGTTTGCCATTAATACTCGACAAAGGTCACTATTAGTAAGAAAAACAACAACCATGGCAGATGATAATGCAGCGAGCCTTCGTTATTTTTAACCATCTTGAAAAGATTGTGGTGTTGATGCGCTGGCTAAGGTTGGGAAAGATCGCCAGATGCACTTCAGGACTACCGTCAAAAAAATGTAAATAAAGATTAAAAAGTTACAAGTGACTGTGCGGTAGAGAAATTGAGAGTTATTAAATATAAAAACAAAAACAGCAATACATTTACAGATGAAACTGCTATGAGAGCAACAGCACAGATGAAGAAAAATAGAGACTGCAAAAAACAGTATGGATGTGAGCAGAAACTGGATCCCTTCTATATTATAAATACACCATTTCATGCCAAAACCGGTCCGAGCTCAGTAACTGAGATAACTTATCGTGTGTAAATGGAAAGCAAACAGACGAGCCATTGTTTTTTTGGAAGATAAACACTCCCGCCAAAGTTCTCGCGAGTTATCGAATAGGCTCCCCCTTGCACTTTGGCGGGAAACTGCAGTTCGTCCCTAGAAATTCCAGACTGACGTACAGAAGCATACCAGCAGAACTGGTTCACAACCAGACTCAAGCAAGATTTGATGTGTGCGGATGCAGAGGTCTAATCTGCCCTTTACTTGTGATGTATGCCAACAATCAGATAACTGACCTGTAACTTAAGGCCCACGTATGGCATACGCTGGCATGCGTTGGGATGAACTTAAATCGACGTACAGAGTGCTCATAACTTATAAAAACTGACCCATAATTTATCCTACGTATGTCAGCGTTATTGCTTGATTTTTCATACGTCAAACATATGCTGGCTAAATCATCAAGGTGTGAGAGGGGCTTTAGAACAGTGTAACAGTAGGTTATAAACTGGACCATCAGCAGCCTTTGGGCCTGTGCAGACAACACTGCACAGCTAAACGTCATCAAATGGAAAACTCTGACCTGCTGAGGCAGTGACCTGCATGTTAAAACGCTTACAGGTCCAGCAGGCAGCCGTACTGAACGGAGTGGCTTCATGTCTGATGTTCTTCACATAGATCATGGCTTCATCCTGGCTTTATTCTCTCTGTATTTAAAGTATGAAACCTGTCACTTCCAGAGAGCAGGAGGACGATGATGTCCAGTTAAACTCTGGTAGAAATCACAGCTTCAGAACGAAACATTAAATCTTTAAGCCGAGCTCTAAAACTCTGAACATGCTGATTTTTTCCAGCCTGTTATCCTTGACCCACATTCCCTGTGTGCAGTTTTCCTTTCACTCATTTTTTCCATTCATCTTTCCCCTCCTCAGGTTTCTGGCAGGGCTGCAGAAAAAAAGCCACTTGGAGAGGAACTGGGTGTGGCTCCTAATGGTGCGTTTAAATCTGCAGTGTACTTGGTGGAGGACACAGCCCAGCCTGCCAGAAACGAGGTTTATAATTAGTCTAAAGCTCTGAAATACTTGGATCCAATCAAGACACCTATGAGCTCAGTCCCTCATTGGCCAATGGGATCCCACTTATTTCAGGAAAATAAACGGTTAATGACATTAATTGTAACAAACCCACATCTAACCAGCTTTCTCTCTTGATCCTTTGGATGTTATCCACTCAACTCAATATTTTATCATAAAAAAAAGAAAATGTTAGAACTGTAAATTTAGAGTTATATGTTTATATTATTTTTTATATATATATTTTTATTTTTTACTATTTTTCAAGGCTGCACTTTAAAAAAAATGAAATTGTCCAGAGAGCTGTTCCAAACCAAATTTCTTTTTGTTTTACACTTGTTTAACAAAATGAGAAATAAATCTAGGTGTAGCTAGAACTGCTCCAACTGACCAACAGCATCAGCATGAAGGCAGTTATATGGTGATCGATTAAACGTATTTTGAAAATAATGACCTTTGTAAAACTCAATCTGATAAAAAGAAAAACAAAAATTAAATCTTAAAAAAAATATTGAGTAATATTGGAAAAAATATTGGGGCATGTCTGCGTTAACTGCGACACACAAGACGACCTGGTTTCTGAGTAGGGATGTAAATAATAATAGTTTTGTAGTGAAGCATCGATCCAACAGCTGACGATCCGATGCATCGACACGTCCGCAAGATAATCGATTCATGGTTGTTGTTTTTTTTTCCGGTCTATTTTTATCCATTTGCTCCTGGGCGTAGTTCTCCTCCCGTGCTGCGGTGGCGCTACACCTATTTTGCCCTCCTACCTCGCTTCCTGGTTATACTCTTGCAGCAGTTTGTTGCAGTGAGCTTGACACAGACATTTTTAAATTATGCTCAATATTGAAGCGTGGTCTGTGCTA